TACATATGTGGCTACGATCATCATTAGGTAACGTGAAAATCAAAATTCCGGTGATCAATGTCAGGGGAGTGTACAAATCAAAAAAGAAAAAAAAAACGAACCAAAAACAAAAATACAAGAAATGAATGTTTGAGCTTATTCTAGAGCACTAATAGCTAATAAAAAATCATCAAAAACGACTTTTAGTGTTCGCACCAATATCAAACTAATCTTTAATATTATTAATAATCGTAATACAGTTACATTATTTAGTTTAACTCTTCTCACGAAATCTATAAACCTTATGACTCTCAACTTCATATTCTTAGCCTAAATTATAATCAGGTTTCTGTATTAGTTTGGATTACGAAGAATAATTTTTCACAAGTTAAACATTCAAACATACCTCTCATCTAACTTCACAGATTACCGAATTGCTTTAACAGTTTATTAAGTAAGCCGTAAATTTTTCACATTTTTTGTTTGGCCACTAGGAATTCATATTCGTGGCTCGGAATTCAATCTTGTGACAGAAAATCGTAAATAAAACTTCATTGAGATTTTCCAAAACCAGCCAATCATAAAGCCCGCTATGCTGATTCGAGTGAGAATAACATCTCTCATTGCTTCATTTAACAATTTGATTTGATTTTCCATTGAGGTGACATAGTTTACTAATTCTGCTCATTGTTCGATATCCTTCTTTAGTTTTAGTGTCCTCTATTTTGTGTGCAACTCATTTCCACTGTTTTGTTCCACATTGGATCAAAATCATCGTCAGTTAGTACAATTTTTTGAGTCGAAGTTGTTCTTATGGAGATATTGATTAACAAATATCCAGAACTTCTTCGTTAATGTTTTCTTATAACCGCCGTGGAAGAAGCGCTTACTGGAATTGATGGATTGCTTTTAATTATGCTTGCTGAAACCAGAGCATCAAATGTAGAAATGCTTGCAAGTACAGTAATATTTGTTGAAGCTCCTGTTGAAACAGGAAAATTACGTATCAAAGCTCCTTCTACTAAAACATTGTGTTTCGAAGTGTTTGCAAGAACGAGAACATCACGCGTAAAAATTCTTCAATAGAAGGAATATGGTGTATCGAAAAAGAAGGAACATTTTGTACTAAAATGGAAGTGCTTGCTACAGGAGGAACATTAATTGTTGAAGTGTTTGATCGATATGTTGGTTTTTTATAATTAACTCTTAAATATTTCAAAAACCTTCTAGTACCTTTTTCTTGCTAGATATCCTACAAAGTGAATATATCTGTATCATTTTGGACATTTGATTTTAAACAAATAATATTTAAAGAATAAATACAGTACATATAAAACCTGACTCATTAAGAATCTAAAAGATATAAATCGAAACTTTAATTTACTTAACAACATCAATAGTGAGATCCTTTTGAGATTTTTTTTTGCATAGTGAATATTGACAATGCTATAAAGTAACAAATGGTTGCGAAAATGTATTACTATTAGCCCAAGTAATAGATCAGTTTATAGTATTAAGCTCAAATTTTAATGAACAGATTTATCTGGCGAATAATCTGGCCATTTCGATATTTAAGAGAATTCCGAATTCTATAAATCTTTAGAAACAGAAATATGTTTAGAAGTTAAAATTGATCAGATATTTATTAAGGAAACTTCCTTTAATTTGATAAACTATGAATTTTCCTCTTAACGATTAAACTAAAAATTCTATGAACAATTGCAGAATTTCGTGGTGCCATAGATCGGGTTACATACGTACGTACGTAAGTGGCATGATTTGGATTTGCATAGCTAATCAGTAATATATCATGTGTAAACTTGGATAATTATTTATCCGGAAATAGAAGGACATGTCACTGATTAAAAGTGAAATTTTCAAAATCAAGGAAAATCGTGCATCAACAGGCTTGGATGATGTAAGAGGCTTGTTCGGCTAAAGATCATTGAGAACAATGAATTATAGAAAGTAAGATGAGTTATATTCTAAGCCTCTATAGTCCTTTGAAAGGACGTAACTTGGGTGAGGTTGGTTACAACTTTTATGTGCAGGTAGGGCACCTAAGCTACTAATTCGATAATAATTCCCCCATAAGAATATCTAAGATATTAACCAAATCACCAACGTCACGCTTCTGACGAGTTGTCTTATCTCTGTCCTTACTGTAACAATTGGAGATGATCCAATACAACATTTATATGATTGGGAAGCCAACTTTAGTATTCCGAGAAATCATCCTATTTTGTTTTCAATCACCACATTATTAATAAAAAATATTATTATGCACATTATCTACTTTACTATTTGACCAAAGTAAAATTACGCCTACTAATCTAATAGTTTAATCCTTACCCGTAATGCCTTGCTTTTTATATTATTTTTTTTTAGTGACTATTCCAGCATTTAGAACTTATTTATGGTCAATATAACTTGTACTATATAGTAAATATTTGCTTCTAAGTAAGTTCTTGGGTCGTGGATTATTTTAGATAATTTTTAACAGTAAATCTTAAACCTTTATTTAGAGTTTATGGCGATTTTTAAAGTGCATAAATAATATTGATTTACATCAGTACTGTAGTATAAACAAAATTTAAACGTGTTATTCAATGATTTGATTTGACGCCACATATAATCTTATTATCTGTTTTGATACAGTTATTTTTGATTTAAATAAACAACGCATCCGTTGCTAAAGGCTCACTAATTATTTATAGTAAATATCCAATACCCAATTATAAATAAACATATCTAAATACCTCGGCTGTAATAGTAAGCTTTTAAAGACCGCTAAGGACAAGCTGTCGGTAGCAAAAGCAGATGACATGTAGCTATAAGAAGCCTGAAGGTTGCTTGTTGAAAATTAAAAAAAGTAAACAAAAAGAAATAAAAAAAATCAACTGTTATTAGATAAATATTTATTTAAATATCATATTTTATACTTTAGATACGCATAAATATGTCAAAAAAAGAAAGTAAGAATGAGTTTTTTTCTTGCTACATGTATTGGGTAAAGTATTCACATCAGTGCTTTTAAGAATTTTACCACTACTGTACTTAATATTGAACTAACTCGAAATGGATTTTTAGGATCAAGGACACAGTGAAAAAGCTTGGATGATAAGTGCAAAGAATTAAAACAAAGGATATACCCAATTAAGAGTCTAATCTGTACTTATTGTTTATCCAAACAATTAATTGGAGACTTAGTGATTACATATAAGTAATTACTTATGATTATTCGCCGACAAATTTTTAATTTTATTGAACGCATATTAAATAAATATGTTAATTAGAATTTTAATATTGGAATTAGAATTTTAAAATGAGCGATATTGTTTTAAACTTCAATTCGGTAAGTATTATTGTTTTTAACATAATATAATGAAGATTTAGTCCGCTCTAAAATTTTATGATTTATTTTAGATTAAGTCTTCATTCAAGTCCTCGAGCACATTTTCAATGCAATTTATTAGTTGGAAATTATTCATCTATACAATATTTGCTAATGTTTTAAATTATAAGTAGGAATTAATTTTAATGCATATATATTAATTCAAATTAATTTGTAAAATTGTATGTGGTTTTTTACTATTGATAAGTAGTTCATTCAACTGGCTTATGTCAACCTTATATATGATTTAAAACCTAAGAAGATTGAATATTATTACGTAAATGAAAATGACCCAAAAAAGGACGAAGTATGGCAGCCAAGTGATATCTAAAATTGGCAACATATAATCGTGTTAGCTGTGAAAAGGGACGGGACGAAATTGACAAAAAAAAAAGATCTTCGGAAAATCAATTTTTATATTATAAATCTTATAATAAATCATAAGAAAATGCAAAC